GGGGGCTGGCCAGGCGTGCTCGGCTGGCAGCGGCGCGGCCCCGCAGCGCTCGCACTCGGGCGGCCACGACGGAGCCAGGGGAGGCTCCGCTCGGCACATGAAGCATTTTAGGGCTCCAGCGAGGGGCTCAGCCCCCAGGCCGGCCCGGGGAGGCCCACAGGGGCACTTGCGCCAAAAGTCTGAGGTGTGAGCGAGGCCGAAGCCACCACAAGCGCAATATTGGGGCTCAGCAGGCCCCGTGAGGGCTGTGCTTTAATGCCTTTCTGAGCCGGGCATCTCTGAAGGTGTCACAGAAAACACAAGTGAAAGCAGGAATGCTCCCCGCACATTAAATGTTCAGAGAGATGCTAATGATGTAAGAGCTATTGATTGAGGTGAACACTTGAAGCGTAAGGATCAGTCATAACAGTGCTTACTTATCAATATTCAGTCTTTGCAGCTATCTCAGAAACAGGCATTATTGTGGGAGTTCATTATCTTTTTTGAGAGCGTGCACTCACCCCCAGGGGTATGTCCTCTCTTTCCTTGGTACGTTAAATTCACATTAAACTTAAAGGGAGCCACGTGTGTGTAATGAACCAGCATGCAGCCCAGGGCACGCATTCTCTATCACCGGCCTCCATTATCTGCATTGAGTGACCAGAGGATAAATTAGGCCTCATGTGAGCACTACCCTGTTATTTCCTGCAGTTCTTAAAAAATGTGTTTATCCAGAACTCTGTGCCTACTCCCTGTCAGATCATACTGCTCCCCAAGAATCTGTTGAGAAGCTCTGCGGCAGTGCAGAGTTGGAGCTGAAGAAACCTCAGTGGAAGAATACAGGTCATAGGATCAGGCAAAAACTTTATACCAAAGGAAAGCAATGGCTCGTGTAAATTTGAAGCAAATTTTTCATGGGATTGTGAACAGGAATAAAATCTAGTGTTTTCAGAGTCCAGAGAGTGTTTTAGCACTTCACCTGAAGGAGTATTTTAATTAACAGGCAATAATAGTACACTCTTACTCATTGTACCTGAGCTACTGCAGAGGAACAGCTTTGTTTTAGCCAGTGGGTTTCACCCACTGTAGAGTAAGAGGTGAGGAAGGGCACTGAGTGGAACGTACCGATCATTAGTGCTCCTTGTGTATTCCTAAAGAAGTTTAAACATCAATGCCATGCTCCAGAAAAGAGTAGAAGCTGTGGTACATAAATTGCTGCAGTGCCTTGCCATTCTTTATGTAGAGAGTGACCTGCTGTTCCAGAGTCATCCTAGAAGACCCCCCTCTGAAAGCCATCTTCAGCCCAAGTGACATATAGGGCAAGAATGGATCTAGAATGAAGCAGTAATTATACAGGAGGGAGGTTAAACTTCCAGCTTCCGAGAACTGTTCAGTGTTTTCAGACACTTCAAAAAATATGCCTGTGTGGCAAGTGGAAAACAGTCTCTCTACCTAAAAGTCTCCAGATCAATTAAATCAGGCAGCTAAACATTTTTGTATGCTAACTTCTTGTCTTCTAGCAGATCACTACAAGTGACAAACACTCCGAAGAGCAAGCTATGTTTTAAATTTCACCTAGGCAGTTAATTTGCATAGAAATAACTGAGTAGTCCTTTAATTATCCCATAGTTCTGTTGAAGATAGACAAGAGCTATAGCTCATACTGTCTCAGTTATGTTGGTGTAGCAAGAATAACAAGTAGCTAGAAAAAAAGCATTTTTGTTATTGAAGTCAGGACACGCATGTCCGAATTCACACAGGGAACAGATGTCATAAGTAAGAAGACACCGTTTATCCACAGTCGCTGTTTGGGGTTGAACCAAGACACAGTTGCGTAGATCAGATCCTGCGCTGAAGAAAAGCTTTTCTTAAGGTGCTGTTTCTTTTATAACCAAGACAAGACTTTTACATCCTCAAAACACCTACTTTTCTCCCATCAGTCATTGTTTTGATTCAAGAGGAGAAAAACCAAAACAAACATCTTATGTAGAAGATATAGAACTATTCTGAAGAGCTTTTTTTACAAGCAGTCCCCTTGAGACCCTGTCTCACCCATAGTGGATCTCTAGTCTGAGCTACCCTTCTCTGTGAACAGGTAAGTTGGTATGCTTTAATTTCCTTTTCATGTAGGGCAGGTTTGTGGCTTGTATTTAATTAGCATATCTTATGCTGGCACTCTTGAAAATAAAAAAAAAGAAAGGTTTATTGAAAGCAAACTATTAAAGAAATTAAGAATGCTGAGGAATAAGCAAAAGAGAAAGATCATCAAACAGCAAATTGCTGATTATCCTCACAAAGAAAAATAATCTGACTGCTGTTTTTTCTTCCTTTTTTTTAATTAGACGTAGCACCTTCTCTTCAAGATGGTCATGATAGAGTTCTGCTTACAGCCTTACTTTTGTTAAACTCAGTAACAATATTTTCTTTGAATACCCAGTCTTGCAAGAAAAAGGCAATCTCAATCTTACTGTACATAACTTATGATTTGGTATGTTTCTGGACAATGTTTGTCCCATTCCTAAAGAAAGAAATACCACTCTTTCAAAGTGATTTGGTCAAAGTTATACTCAGTATTTGGGCTTGCAAGCATTTAAGATTAAGCAACTGTTTTATTTCAATTCCCAAGTGGGAATAAGAAGCTTTGAACTTTAAACTTGATTATTGTGACATGTCAGTTGTATTGTTATTTTCACTTTTTCTGATACAATTTGGTCAGAAGACAACATAAAACGAAGTAATAATAAATATTGGTCTGGTTCTGTAACTTTTTATTTGAGTGAGTAATAGCACTGAGACTGGAGAGACTGCTACTCCTACAGGTAGAAGAACAGTGATGGGAACATTTTGTTTCTTAAAGATTTAAATTGTTAATAAAATACAAGAAAGATGTGTAAAAATTCAGTCTTGCTGGACTTTTCAAGAGGCACTGCAACTAAACAAACAGTTGAATGATCTAGCAGCAGCAGGAGACCTGCTAATGCAAATACTTAGTGATGTGACTCATAAAAAGCAAGCTGAAAGAAAAACATTAACCAGCTCGACCTTTCTCCCTCCCTCCTTCCCTCCTATCTGCTTCCCTCTCCCCTCATCCTCTATCTTATAAGCACAAGCAGATCAACACCACAGAATTTTTCCCTACTTGCGTGTGATATATCCAAAATAATTTGAGGAAGGCAAAAGTGTGATGTCATTCCATTTTAAATTGTAAATCAATCTATGTCAGTCTCCCTCTTGCTGAGTCCCCAAAAGAGGTCTAAGGAACTTTTTTCTCCGTTTTACTAAATTTGTTAGGCACCATCTTGGTGTATAGGTCTAATCCAAACATGGAGAACATTCCTGGAGTAAAAAAAGCCATCAAGTGTAAGACTTCAAATGCAGTAGTGTTGCAAAAACTCCTTAGAGGCTTTAGAACCTAATTTTCAGAACCATAACTATGCAACATAACTGTATAATCCCAACCTTCAGCAATCTTAATCCATCTATGGGATTTTCATATGAATGAATGTTATCCTTTGGTTCTCTGCTTTCTTTCTTTTGTGTTTCTTTCAGTGGGTACTGAGAAAAGCTGGGTGTAGTGTGATGTGTTTGGAGTTTTCTCTGCAGTTGTCTGTGGCTTTATTATTCTAAATTTTCTTTCCAGGAAGCTGCAGTCACATGAGTTTAACCAACATACCTCTCACATTGCGAATTGGTCACATTAAGCAAAGGGTCACATTTGAGTCAATGTGAGATTCAAATTATTACAATTGAAAAGTAGTTATTGATTGTGGTTGCCATATACAGTTGTCACTCAGGGAGGAGACCATTCTCTTAAGGGGCTCCCTAAATCTCAGGTTTTACTTCTTTAGAGAAATTACCAGCTGTCAGTGCTTACATTACTCTGTGAACATCAGGGTAGATTGTGCATATTACAACTCCAAGCTCACCACAAAGACTGCAGAATTAAGATGCTGCTGAGATTATTCCAGCATATTTTTTTTTTTTTTCATATGGCATGTAAAAAATCTGCATTCTCACTCATCTCCAAGCTAAACTGATGGGTACTTAGAAATATACTTACATCTGCTCATTTTTCTTCAGACTACATCTTAATGGCACAGTTATATGTTACTCTTGTTTTTGCTGAAACTTAAAAAGTAAAATCTATCCTTCTGTTTCTCATCTAATATATAAATAGCCTGATTTGTTTCTTGGAAACCTTAATTCTCACTGAAATAAACTGGTAGAGGAACAAGTTTCTAAAATACATGTTTCCAACCACTGGGAGGAAGTCTATCTTACTAGTATATTTATCATTAATCCGCAGTAATGATCCAGAAACTCAAAACAGCAGGAAGGATACAAAAATAAAGGCAAGCCTTAAATAAACTTGTTGACAGAGAAGATTTAGAGGTAAATTTAACCTCAATCTCAGCTACAGTGATCAGTTGCCACTCTGGTTTTGCATGGCATTTTATTCTGTCCTTTTTACTGGTTCATCAAACATCTGTAGAGCAGACACTGTGCCTTGAGCCTTCATAGGAAACCACACAGCTGAATGCAGAACCGTAGGAGAAGGCAGGATTTGGGAGTGCAAGAAGTCTGTTCTCTAAGCCTGTTTGGGGACGCACCATCAGTATCTTCAGCTCAAGACATGGACTTTGTAGGCAGGGCTGGTTGAGTCTCAAGTCAAGGAGCTAATTAGGCATTACAGTGATGAAGTGCCTCAGCCTGCATGAAGCCATCCACCTGCCATATGGAGCACTGCAGGAATTCTGTGTCTGGAGTGACACTAAAGGCAGAAATATTCATTCTGATGAAGAAGAGAATCTTGAGGCCATGTGTCAAGTTAGGCTTGGAGTGGAGGAGTTAACATCTTCACCTGAGACTCTGCTGAGTATTGCTTTTCTGTGTTCACTGCAGAAGATGCATCTGCACAGTGGAAAAAAAGGATGAACACAAATTCAGTCTGTTTTTAAAAAAACAAGATCAAATATGGGTTTGCAGACTGAGCTTCATTTTTCCAAAATAAAACTCATGATCCAGTGATTCCAAGCCCTTCACAATCAAAGGAAAAACAAACAATATAAATGCTGATGGACATGTATAAAATTTAGTTCATGGTATTGGTAAGAATTCAAATTTTTAGTAATGCAATTATTTCATTAACAAGTTTAAAAATAATTAGATGAATGTTTTGTAATATTTTCAACAGATCTCAATCTGGATGTAGATGGATGATCCTTGCTGAAATGCAGGAATATCTGCTGAAATATTTGGTATTTGTTATAAGGGCACATTCCATGGCATTGCCATGTCATGTGTTACCTTGGCTGTAACATTATATTGCCTAAATCACTTTGAAAGCACGGTTCAATACATTGTGCAAGAGACCTGGTGACTGCTTCCCAGCAATGATGAGAATGAGTTATGAGCCTTTCTGCTTCTTCCTAAAATAACAGGGAATGAATTTCATGTGGGCAAACACTTGACTCATTCTTCTTGGAACTGATAGCTTACCACACAGGACTTGGAGGCTGCTCAGTGAACCAGTCCACGGTTCACAGGAAGAAGAAGCCTCCAGAGGAGCTCAGACACTCAAAGAATAGCATTCTTGGCCAAAAATAACTCTGAGCACTGAAAACAAATTGAAAAAAAAGTGTTGGTCTACTTGTAAATCTGTTGCAGCAACATGTACCTCCAGTCATATCTGAGAGATGAATGGTACATCCATCTTTGTCTCCTCGCTCTTCTGTTTCCAGCCAAAGCTTCTTCCCAACCAAACCAGCACTACATAGGATATACATAGGCTTGTGACCATGAGTCACAGGATCTATGTCAGCTGCTGCTGGTGAGGACCCCGGTGGTGCAAGATGTGAAGGTAAGCACGGCTGCCTTGGGGCAATTGCAATGATACAGAGATATCTGCACAGGGACTGAGAGAAGCAGGAGGGCTGAGGACAGGCTGCAACTGTAGCAATGGCAGTGTGAGAGAGGGACAATCCCACACAGGATGCTGTAAAAGCAGGATGGATAGGCATCATCCTTGGAGTGTCCTGAATGAATGTGCAAAGGATGCAATGCACCACATTGTGTTGGGGGTTTCAGCAGTGTTTCATATGGATGTGTGTGAACGTGGGTGTTGGGGTGAGATGTACCCAGAATAGCAGAATCAATACATCTCTCCTATCTGTTCACACCTGCTGGTGAACTGGAGGTCATCTTTCCTCCTGCACCCTCCACAGCTGCTGTCTGGCTTGCTCTTGGGTCTGTAGCAGACTGTGAGGGAACGGCATGGCCAAGTTTTTGAGTCTATGTGTTTTGTCTTGACTGACAGACTTCTGCAGACACTTTGGCACAAAGTAGAAAATGGCTCACTGACAGCAGAAGGAATATGTCCTTCTTGGAGATGTGAATTCTTCCTTGGATGAAGAAGCTGCTGTGTACTGCCAGCCAGCATTCTTGCTGAATGTTAGGTTTCCAAATTAAAAAAATGATTTAACTGTACACAAGGCAATATGTGCTATGAAATGCTGCAGTGCCATTAATCTTTATGGATTATCGTGTAGATAGGGAATCAAAGCCAAACCTACCTACATACCTTCTTTCCTGCATTTGTGTTCCTTTCCCTACTCCGTGTGCAACCACTCCTTCATGACAGTAATAAAGCATTCATTCCTTACTCATGAGTTTAATAGGGGGATAAAGAGAGTGATCAGCCTGACAAGAGCAAGAGAAAGGGTCTGGAAATGTTTGGTGAATAGAAGGAAGGAGAAGAATAGATCATTCTGCAAAGTGTGGTCACTTCTCATTTCCTTGCTTCTGAAAATATATAATTCCAGTGCTGGTACCAGGCAAAGTATAATCTTTGCTATCCCTGGGAAAATTTCAGGTATTCCTGCTCCAAGAAGTGTACTTAACATTGCCGTTTGTATGCTGACAAATCAGCCTTCATTCCAGAAATGGCACGAGTCTCCAAGGAAAGAATAACTTTTCTTTTCCAGAGTACTCATGGCCTGAGGCTGATCTCTGTAAGCTGTCTACAACTGAGGTTTCTGTGCACTGGGAAATTATATTCATGTTGGAACAGGAATGCAGGAAATTAATGTGGTAACA